TTACCATCTTCTTTTGAATGATGTAAAGCAGGAAAAAAAATCATGGTGTCATTTGCAGAGTTCTAGGAAATAATGATTGAGCTACAGAAACTAAAACAGTTTTGGCAGTAGAAAATGATTTTTATAATTTCTTTTGGGGAGGTGTTTCAAGACAGGGTTTCTCCGTGGCTTTGGAGGCTGTCCTGGAACTAGCTCTCGTAGACTAGGCTGGTCTTCAACTCACAGAGATCCGCCTGCCTCTGACTCCCAAGTGCTGGGACTAAACGCGTGTGCCACTGCTGCCACCACCACCACCACCACCACCAGACTTATAATTTCTTGAAAACAAACCATTTTCTAATGTCCACACTTCATCTTGTGCTACTGCTTATTCACCTAGGAAATACGCAATTTTTGCTTATTTGTTTTTGAGGCAGGGTCTCACTGTGTAGCTCCCACTGGTCTAGCCTAAGACTGGCTACGTAGACCAGTCAAGCATGGAACTCACAGAGATCCCTCTGCCTCTGCCTCTCAGTGCTGGAATTAAAGGCTTGTGCCACCACCCTGGCAGGAACAGTGGGTTTGTTTTTTGGTTTGTTGTTGGGGTTGTTTTTGTTGTGTTTTTCAAGACAGGGTTTCTCTGTAGCTTTGGAGCCTGTCCTGGAACTCTGTCTTTAGACCAATCAGGCATGGAACTCTCAGAGATCCACCTGCCTCTGCCTCCCAAGTGCTGGGATTAAAGAAGTGTGCCACTATATCCGGAAGAAATGGTTTTGATATAGCTAATTATCTTTTTGTTTATTTGTTTGTTTGTTTTTCGAGACAGGGTTTCTCTATGGCTTTGGAGCCTATCCTGGAACTAGCTCTTGTAGACCAGGCTGGTCTCGAACTCACAGAGATCCGCCTGCCTCTGCCTCCCGAGTGCTGGGATTAAAGGCGTGAGCCACCAACGCCCGGCTTGATGTAGCTAGTTATCATGGCTTATCCCTATGATACCAGCATTCTATGAACAGGAGGTTTGCCATGAATTTGAAGATCTAATCAATTTTGAGTTCCAGGCCAACCTAGGCTACAGAGTAAGATCCCATCTCAAAAAGAATTAAAGACGGTTAGGAGAGATGAATCAGCAATTAAGAGTACTGGCTGTTCCTCAAGGGGACTCAGCTTTGATTCCCAGCATCCATATGGTGTCTCACAACCGTCTAACTCCACTTCCAGTGATCCATCCAACACCCTCTTCTGGCCTCCTCAGTCAACAGGCATGCATGTGGTACAGAGACATATATGCAAGCAAAACATCCATACACATAGAATAAATCTTCGAAAGTTTTTTTGTTTTTTTGTTTTTTTGGTTTTTTAATGAAAAAGTGCTGGCTAAATGCTCATTCAGCAGGCAAAGGCACTTGCCACCAAACCTAATGACCTGAGTTTGATCTCTGGTACCCATAATGTAGAAGGAGAACCAACTCCTGCAAGTTGTCCTGACCTCATGCACTGTGCACTGCCATGTGAATGCATGCATTATATATATATATATATATATATATATATATATATATATATGCTTTTTAAATTATAGGGGAAAGGGATTTTTTGGGGGTGGGGGGAGCTGGGTTTTGTTTCTTTTAGACAAAGTCTCACTATGTACCCCTGACAGGTGTTGAACTCACAGAGATCCTCCAGCCTCTGCTTCCTTCATGCTGAAATTAAAGACATGTGCCACCCTACCCATCTTTTTCTTTTTTAAAGAAGAGGATGTTGAATCCTAGAGCTAGAGTTAAAGGCAGTCAACAGAGCTGTCTAATGTGGGTGCTGAGAACTGAACTCTACAAGAGTATCAAGCATTCAACCCATGAGCCACCTCCAGCCTGGAAGGCTGGTTTGTTTGTTTTTATGCTAGAACGTGGTGGCACACGCCTTTAGTCCCAGCACTTGGAGACAGAGGCAGGTGGATCTCTGAGTTCAAGTCTATAGCTTGGTCTGCAGAATCCCAGGAGAGCCAGGACTACACAGAGAAACTTTGCCCAAAGCTTCTTTCTGACTCTTGGAATATTTGGGGTGGGGGCGGGGTGTTTTATTTTTGTTGTTGTGTTTTGTTTTTTGATGATCTCATATAGTCCTTCCTGGGTGGTCTAGAACTAGACTGGCCTCAAACAGATCTAGCTGCCTTTGCCTCCCAAGTACTAGGATTAATGGTGCACTTTACTATACTCAGCAGAAATACTTGCTCTTGAGCCCAGTTGTTGTATGAGAAAGCCCAAACGTCTCCAGAAAGCCTGTGTGGAGAGGAAACTCAGCAATCTCACTCCCGGCCCCAGTGCTCACCAACTCCTACACATGGGCCTCTCATCTGAGCTCTGTGAAAGGCTTTTCAAACTCCATTGCAACCCTATCAGATGACACCAAATGGAACAAAGGCTAATTGTCCTTGCCAAACCCTTCCCAAAACACACAGTATTTGTAAAATATTTGTTTTAGTTCTCCCATAGTTCACTACGTTTCTCATGGGAGAAGAGATTGTAAATAGCAATAGGTAATTAATAGAGGCAAATTTCATTCCTGCTTGAGTCCGTGAAACAGCAGGTAAGTTCGTGTAGCACAGAAGAAAGTGGGATTAGAGATAGTGTGTAATAGGATTTAGCAGCGTTTGCTCTGAGCTATTTGACCAGTGCTGTCCCGCCAGCCATCTCTCAAATAACAGAGACATTATTATGAAAGCTCAGCCTTAGCTTAGGCTTGTCCCACTATCTTTTAAAACTTAAATTAACCCATTTACATTAATCTACATTTTGTCTCCTGGCTTTTTACCGTATTTCTGTACTGCCCATCCTGCTTCCTCCTTGTGTCTCACCTCCAGAGCGCCTAGATTCCTCCTTTTTCTCTGCCTGGAAGTCCCACATATATATATACCTCCTGCCTAGCTATTGGCTATTCAGCTCTTTATTAAGCCAGTCACAACAATATATCTTCACACAGTGTACAAATATCCCACAAGCTTGATGGAACAATTTTTAGATGCTTGTCATCCTAGTTTGCTTATCAGAGCTGTGACAAAATACCAAATCCAATTTGAGGGAAGAGGGTTTGTTTTGCTTCCACTTCTGTGTCGTAGTCCATCATTGAATGAAGTTGGAACAGGAACTCAATGCAGGAACCTGGAGGCAGGAATTGTAGAGACAAAGAAATGCTGCTTCCTGGCTTGTTCTCTATAGCTGGCTCAGCCTTCCTTATTTAGCCCACACCTGCCCAAAGGAGGCATCACCCACAAAGGACCTGGCCCTCCCACATCAATCATTAAGTCAAGAAAAGCCAGGCAGGGATGACACACACCTTTAATCCCAGCAGTTAGAAGGCAGAGGCAGGTGGATCTCTTGTATTCAAGGCTAGCCTGATCTACAGAGCGAGTTCCAGGACAACCAGGGTGAAAAGCCCTGTCTCCAACCCAAAAAAAATGCTCAGTTGTAGTTCCCTTCTTCCCAGGTGACTCAGGTCAAGTTGACAGAAACCTGTCTTCACCAGCACACCTATCTTCACCAGCACACTTGTCTCCTGGTGCTAACCAGAATACTCTGGAGACTGATTTCCCAGTGTCTTTGAAATCATCTTGGTTCCAAATGCTGTTTAGACGCCTATTTTATGTCCATTCAAAAATGTCTACTGATTCATATTAGCCATGTGACCGTCAATTCATACCATAATTAGTTATGTACTATACACACTTGGCTGAAAGGTATCAGATCACCAAAGAGATACTTAGTGAGCCATCAAGATAAATCCGTTCCAAGCAGGGCATGGTAGTGCACACTTTTAAATCTGAGGCAGGAGGATCTCTATGAGTTTGAGGCTATCCTGGTCTACATAGTGAGCTCCTGGCCAACCAAGGCTACATACTGAGATGCTGTTTCAAAAAAAAAAAAAGTGATATTAAGAAATCAGTCCCAGGAAATCCATTTTCACCATGTGACAGTTTTTGAGGGGACTTTTCCCAGAACAAAGTTATTTAATTTATGAATACTTTGTTTCAAGTGGTTGTCAACTTTTTTGTTCTGCATAACTACCCAAGAAACGATTTACTGTCTAATAATTTGTTGTCTCTGGTTTTGTGTTTATTGAGATGAAAGTTTTACTTAACCTAGGCCGACAGACAGCACACTGTGTAGCTGAAGCAGATCTTGAATGCCTAGAACCTATTGACTCCACCTTCCAAATGCTCGGACGACATACTCATGCCACCACGCCCTGTTCTTGCTTTTGATTTGAAGGTTACAAGTTAAATTACAAGACATCCACTTAAAGCCGTGGAACCTTACATGTTTCCAAGAAATAACTTTCTGGTAAACCAGATGTCTGCATTACCTGGGACAAACTATGAGATTAGCTTTTGAGCAATTTGGCCATCTCCGGCGCTTTTTGTTTGTTTTGTTTTTTTTAGATTTATTAATTTATTTTTTACATTCCAATTCCAGTTCCCCCTCCCTCCTC